TAGCAAGGAGAGATTACGAGGGAAAACTGTAGCAGAGTACATTAAAAACACTGACACACAACTGCAAGAGCTGATCAGAACCTGTGGCTCAAGGTGTCATGCATTTAACAACAACGACCACAATGTTTCACAGGCTGAGAGACTGTTAGAGATGATTTTGGAAATGAAGAAGAAAAATGGAAGTACTGATATTGTAGAACACTACTCATTTTGTAAGGAATCAGAGAAAAAAGACTGCAGAATTCAGTAGACACTTGCAAACGATTCCTGTGGTAATTCTTCAAAACTGATTTTGAACAAAAACATTAGTTAATTTTTGCTAGAATCAAATAATATACAGTATATCAGTGTTATGTTGCTTGTATTACAAGTACAAATAAAGAGAAGTGTATTCTTCAAAAAGCCTATTCATGCACTACAGTTTCTTTTGTCAGATAGAAACAACTAGGTCAAACAATTGAAACAGTGAAATATCTGGACCCTGAAACTCAGTACTATGAATGGCATAGAAAAAAATTTATCATTTGCACACCAAAATACCATTTTCTAGTCAGAGGTAAAATATTTAAAGAATGTGGTCCCACAAGTCTGCATACATGTTTGTGATGTTTCAAGCTACAAAGTTGTTTCCTTTTAAGATGACGGCAAGAGAATGCAAACTGGTTATCTCTGCCTATAATTAACGTTCCTTCTGCGAAAATACAGTTTCTTCCTTGTAAGAAAGAAGCTGAAGAATTTCTTCCTTCTAAAAAAACATCCTGCATATCTGATCAACAGAGAAGACATACAGGTGTATTGTTTCCTTATTGTTGTTAAGCTTAGCAGAGTTCACATTATTTGAAGAAAATGTCTTGTTGTGTTCTTGTATATATGAGGACTTTCCATAAACTGGCATTTTAAAGAGATAGTTCACCCAGAAAGAAAACGTTGTCATCGTTTACTCACCCTCAAGTTGTTCCAAACCTGTATGAGATTCTTTATTGTGCTGAACGCAGAAGAAGATATTTTGAAGAACGTGGGTAACTGAAAAGTTGATGCTACATAAATACTATGGAAGTCAAATTAAATTAAATTACATAAATACTATAGAAGTCAATGTCATCAAATGTTTGGTTTCCCACAATCTTCAAAATATCTTCTTTTGTGCTTTCTTATAAATTTCTCATTATGCTACATTACTAAATATTTAATTTATCCCAAATTATCCATTAATAATGTTGTTCACTCATAAATTGATGTGAGGTGAATAAGCTCAGATTAATGAGGCCTACAATCAACCAGTTACATACAAAAATACAAAACTTGTGCTAACTGAAAGAAAAAAGACTGGATTCAAGATTTGGTCATAACATAGCATAATATGACATTTACAAGCCCAATTCCAGAAAAGTTGGGACATTTTGTGAAATGCCATAAAATCAAGAATATGTTATTTGTTAATTCTCTTTAAACTTTATTTAATTGACTAAAGTACAAAGAAAAATGTCCAATGTTTGCACTGACCAACTTAATTTTATTTTGAAAATATAAACTAATTTTGATGGCTGCATCACACTCCAAAAAAGTTGGGACAGAGACATGTTTAACACTGTGTCACATCAACTTGCCTTTTAATTAAAATGTTTAACTGTTTGGGAATTGAGGATACTAATTGCTAAAGTTTTGCAAGCCAAATTTTGTCCAATCTCGCTTGATACAAGACTTCAGATGCTCAGCAGTCTGTGATCGCCGTTGTCTGATTCTCCTTTTCATGACTGGTCATACATTTTCAATAGGAGACAGATCTGGACTGATCTAGCACATTCAC